TAAGGTTGCCAGAAGAAAAGGATGCATTCTGGCCCTTATAATGTACAGGTTAAATAAATGCATATATTTTCCACATCTCAGTTCTAAGAATCAGTTTACCAGAACACTCACCTGAAGTAGCAGCTTCAGAAAGCACTTTAAGAACTTCATTTTCCATTTCACTGCTGTTACACAGCTCTTCCCAAGTCCCTTTAAATCCTTTCGTTCTAGCTAGCTCCGTGAGTTCCTTTTGATTTGGCACAACAAATCCAATTACATAAGAGTGGTAACTGAAACACAGAAAGGGTAACTTAGAAAGGAACAAAACAGCATGCACTGTGCTTACTAATGTAACCAATTACCACGGCATTCTATAGCCAACTCTTATTCTATAGCCAATTCTTCACTATTGGAAAAATTATGACATACATAAAAACCACCATCATACCTACCTTATGCAATGCCTCTTACCACTTAGCACATCTGAGAGCTCTCGCAAAGTTCACTGCAAACAAACCTCATAAATTCTGTGTGCCTAACAATTAGAAGTGGTAATGTAATGTATACATTTTTAAAGGGAATTTACATTTTTTCCCAATTCTTTGAAATCGGTAAATTCTTAGAAACGAAATAAGAAAAGCAAAACCTGTAAATTATGTTTCTGAAGAATTGTAGCAGCAAGTCAAAAGCTTGCAATACACTAGGTGTGGTGGCACAAGCCTTTTATCCCAACACTTGGGAGGAAAAAGCAGGCAGATCTCGTAGTTTGAGGCCAGCCAGGTCTATAGAGTGAGTTCAGGATACCAAGGGCTACACAGAGAAACCCTGTCTTGTCAAAAGAAGGGAGGAAGGGAAGCGAGGGAAGGAAGGAAAAGGAAGAAAGTGGAGGGGAGGAAGTAAGTCCTGCAGTGATGCTCATTTTCTTCTGATAAAGAATTTGATTACCAAAGAAACTTAGTATGCACAAAGACAGGTACTGTTGGTAAGACAGTATGCCTGCTGGGCAGAAAGGCTGTAGACCCCATACTACAGAGGCTAAGGCAGGAGGAGTGCCATGAATTCAAGGCCAGCCTGAACCTGAAGAAATAACAGCACCATGAAGAAAGGAACATCTGGGGATATCCTTTGGTTGTTGTTGTTTGGTTTTTGGTTTCTTTGTATTACAGCTCTGGCTGTCCTGGAACTCTGCCTCTGTCTCCCTAGTGCTAGGATTAAAGAGTGTGCTACAACCACCAGGTTTGGAGTGATTCTTAAATAAGTAAAAATCAGCTTTGGAAAAATGCTGAAGAAAGGAAATGGCTGATTAAAGTGTAGAGTCACCAATGAGTCATGTACAGGGTGCTAACTAGTCAAATCTGGACAAGCATTTTAAAATGGGTGTGTGGTGCACGCCTTTAATTCCAGCAGCACTTGGGAGGTGGAGGCAAGAGGATTAAAGGTGGCTCCAACTACACAGTGAGTTCCAAGACTGTCAGGACTTGTAGAGAGACCCTGCCTCAAAACAAGAATCCACATCTCCAAAATCTGTCCCATTTATTGTCCCAATTATTTCAGAACACAGCTATTCCACCGATGCTCATCTACCATTTGGGATGCACCCTGACGTCTACCTCCAAGGTGATTTTCCCAGGACACCATAACTATGTCAACTGCTACCGACAGGCTTCTCGGCTTACTCACAGATCAGCGACCATGATCACTGGAGAAGAATTGCCACTTTATTATAATTTCTGTAACTTCTGTTACAGAAAATGTAGTCAGGTCTAATCTCCAAAACCATCCTATTTCCCAAAACAGCTCTAGGCTTCTAAACTTCCAGGGGCTGTGAGGCTGTGGCTACCAGGGCCAGCAGTAAGGATACTCAAACTGCAGGTCAGAAGGACAGGAAGAAGGGCCTGTAGGAAGACACTGCTAATTCCCCTTTCCTCTGATTGGGTCTGCAAAGTTTCCCTGTGCAGACACACAGGTAGCTAGGTGCCGAGGTAACAGGAAGGAGGACTTATTTTCCTCTGTCACTCAGGACACTGACAGAGAGACATAAAGCAGCACACAACAGGAAGATGAAGGAGAACACCGCAGGAAGTACCAGCTCACTAGCTGGAAAGAGGTGGTGGTGGCCATTAAGTCAGAACAGTTCGAGTGATCTCTCATGTGGTTGTGACTGCTCACTATACGCCCACCTCACTATACACTCTGTGCAGACTCCACGGCTTACCTGTTTGCATATGCACAAATGTTATCTATCAGTGGGAGGTTCTTCAAAGCTGCCTCTACTTTCCCAAGAGAAACATACTCTCCTGCCTGTAGTTTCACAAGGTCCTTTTTACGATCTGCACAGAACAAAGGCAGAAACAATGAGAACACATTTAAGCACATATAGGTACTGTCACCAAGTTATTTAAAACTTTTCTCAATTAAGCGTTGGTGGATACCCTAAAGTTGAGATTACATAATAAAATGAGACCCTAATTTTCTATTATTAAATAAATCCTTTAGAGGAAAATTTTACTTAAAGGACATCATCCTCACGGTTTTAATATTCTCTACTGAGCAGATACGCTCCTGGCACTCACTAGAACCCAGCAGGTAAGGCAGCTGTGCAAGACAAAGGGCAAACACATACTACCCAGGGAAGAGTGACACAAAACAGCATCCACACAGCACACCATCTGTGGATTTGGAAAGGTTCTAGCAAGTGGGGCCTGAGAAGAATTTTGTTGACAAGAGTTGAAAGCATCCCGGTACAACAGCACAGGCAAGGGCCGTTCCGTGAAGTCACTGGAGTATAAAAGAGGGAAACAACCCCAAAGAGGCAGGGAGGTGCGTGGCGGCTGTGCAAAGAAACACCTGGAACTGAACTTCCAGAAGACATTCAAGGCTTTTTACAATAATGAGGTTTCCCCCATCACATGACGGAAGAAAAAGGTTTGGAGGGGTACAAACAGGCAGAAAGGGAATTCTTATGAGAGGGTGGCAGAAGGCACATCCTGGTCTGCAAATGTAGAAAGACAGAAAGAGATGCTGAGGCACATGTCTCTTAGTGGTACATGAAACAGGGATGCAGAGCTGGTGGAAAGGAAGCCTTCAAGTTATGGTGAAGTGTTGTGCAGCAATTTCCCACAAGAAACAATGACTTTCCATCTGCAGGGAAGAGCCTCAGCACTCAGACGTTATAAAGATATGCTTACTTAGGAAAGTAAGTAAGTTAGAACTTTCCTAAGTAAGCCTATCTTATCTTTGCATAAGCCTATGCAAAGGTTCTAGGACTGCAATTCTCAACTTGTGGGTCGCGACCCCTGCTGGGAGTCAGATGACCCTTTCAAAGAGGTTGCCTAGGACCTTCAGAAAATAGAGATATTTACACTGTGACTTATAAAAGTAGCAAAATTATAGTTATGAAGTAGCAAGGAAATAATTTTATGGTGGGGGTCACCACAATATAAGGAACTATATTAAAGGGCTGCAGCATCAGGAAGGGTGAGAACCAGTGGTCTAGGAAGTCCCTGATGCACTAGACCCCTCCCTTCTGAGGCTTATGTAAGCAGTAAAGGCTACTAAGAGATATTCTCAGATAATCCAAGCTGCCCAGAGAGGCTCAGACGAACTGAGCTGCCAAGAAGAGACCTCTTCAACTTATCAGTCTGCCAGCAAAGTCATGCAGGAAGCTCATGAGTTCCCACTTCACTCATGCTGGGGTGGACTTTTGTTTGACTTCGAGTCGTTCCTACTTTGATGAGCAATCTTTCGCCCATTCACCCACTCCTTAGTCACAACTTCCTGTAAGTCCAAAAAAAAAAAAAAAAAAAAAAAAAACGCCTTAGTGCACTAAGTTGGACTTTGGTGATATCAGCATCGACACAAACCATGGAGAATGACTAAGGTTAACTAACAATTATTACAAATCTGTGGCCGAACAGCTTTTACAGCCTTATCCATAATGTGTCAAGCTTTGAGAACACTTGGTCCCTCTTTAATATGCTGTATTTTGGGGATAAGAGCCCTTCTCATTATTACAGAGATAAGCTCTTTCACTGTTAAACAGTCTCTCTAAACACAGGCACCTCTCCGTAAAAGGCATTTCAGAAGCACTTACTTTCAAGAAAGGATTCAGGGGCTGAAGAAATGGCTCAGCTTTTAACATCATGTACTTAAGAGGACATGGGTTCAATTCCCAGTACCCACATGGTGACTTAAAACCATCTGTAACTTCAGTTCCAGAGGATTTAATACTTTTTTCTAATATCAATGAACATCATGCACACATGTAATGCACATACATACATTTAAGCAAAACAGTCCTACATATAATAAAAGATAATGAGAGAGAGAAGGAAAGAAAGGGAGGGAGGGAGGGAGGGAAGGAGGAAGGGAAGGAAAGAAAGAAAGGAAGGAAGTTAGAAAGACAAAGAAACAAAGGACTCAATGGCTCACCAATAATCTTCAGACAACCATCAGGGTCAAACTCTCCAATATCTCCAGTGCAGAGCCACCGCTGCCCATTTTCATCTTCAAAGAAATCAGTCTGTGTTTTTGCTTCATTTTTGTAGTACCCCATTGTCACATTTTGGCCACCAATAAGAATTTCGCCTCTGGGATATGGTTTATCAGTATTAAAATAGCCACCTAAAAAGCACAAATAAACCATATAGGTATTACATAAAAATTCAAAACTATTAGTTTCTAAGTATAGATCTTACTTTAACCAATTAGAGGTCCAGGATAAATAAAGCAGATACTGAGGCTAAACATTATCAATAAGCTAGCGCCAAACTTTCAGTCATTCAATAATGAGCATCCACACTTTTTAAGCTACTATTTCAAAAAAAAAATGAATATTCTAAATTCCAGCATCCTTCACCTATTACGTAAAATAATTACAAAGTTTCTACTTGGTCCATATATCATGCTAGAAAAATTATAAAAGAACTGTCCAATATGAAGTAATAGAACAAATCCCTTCATAAAATCACACTAATATATACTTAGAAGCTTGTTCTTTCAGATAATTTTAGATTGACTGAGTTCAAATTTTATTGACTATTTCTAACGTATGCAAAAAACAGATGACAAATGTTATCAGTCTTAGAATCTTTAGAAAAGAGAGGTATGTCCCGATAGATCACAGATAATCCATATGCTTTGATATGACACAAATATCTCTACAGTGGTTTTTATTTTAAATAGAATAAACAACAAATTTTTATAGAATTAAAGTGCAATTTTTTTCCTTTTAAAAAAACTTTGTTTGAAGTCCTCGGGGAAAAGGAAAATTATGATAATCCATACAGAATAAATGTGATTTTTTTCTTCTACAAAGTGAAATTATGACTACTATTTTATTACATTTACTCTTCTCCCTTCCCATCTGACTCTTCGTGTCTGTGCTGTGTGTATGTGTATGTGTGTGTGTGCGTGCAAGCATGCATATGCATGCACCCAGAAACTACAGTGTATGTATAAAAGTCAGTTAATTCTGGTTTGCAACCATGTGTGTTCTAGGGATTGACCTCGGGTCCTGAGGATCAGAGACAAGGCCTTTGCCTAATGAGCCATCTTGTTGGTCCTCCTAACTTATAACACTATTCACTTAGCACATATCTCAAATTTCTGCTATCATTTTTACTTTATGTAACTTATATAATAAAATGATAATCAAGAGACTAGGGGAGACTACTCAATCAGTAAAGAGCTTGCTGTGTAAGAAGACATGGGGTCAACTGCCAAAAATCATATTAAAAAGCCATGTGTGGTGCACAGGCTTGTCATGTCAGCACTCAGGAGGCAGAGACAGATTCCTAGGGCTCACTGGCCAGCCAGCCTAGCCTAAGCCACAGTCTCAGTTTCAGGAAACAAGGTAGACATGACCTCTGAGGAATGACACCCAAGACTGACATCTAGCCTCCACACATATAAACACACAAACATATATACAGTAAGTTAAAAAAAAATCTATTCTTCAGAATCAATTCTGAAGCATGCAAATTAAGTACATCTGCTCAGTTCTATATTAACAGTTAATCAACAAAATGAACACTTAAAATTTTACATTCTAAAATATGTAACAAAAGGCAATAGAGTAATGTCTATTTCAATCTTATAAAAGTTAATGTTCTGTGACTAAAATAAGTTGTTACCTTCCTCCCAGTTCTTTAATTTGATTTCACAGCAAACTAATGGTGCTCCCACTCTGCCGGTATTGTAGTCCCACACTAAGAGGCAAAGGGAGAAAAAGTATTTGAGAACTGTGGTTAACCAACTGCTTCCTTCTCCTAAGTGATTTGACATGATGATTTATCCTAAGCCTTGGATAGCCAGCCTCATCCCCAAGAGAATCCTTACAAACAGAAGTGAGCCACAGGATGCAGGCTCTGCTCAGCACAGGTACACTTTTTAAAGACCTGAAGTATTATTGAAACTGATTTTACTTGTTATGCAGAGTTTGGGGCTTATTAAGACATTTCAAACACATTTTAAGCAAAAGAGTTACAAAAACACACCCGGGTACAGGGCATAGCCTTTTCTTAGAAGGTCACCTGTTACAGTCATTGGAAAAAGAAGTTTCAAATGGTTTGGAGTCTACATTAGCAACCGAGAGTCCTATGAAATCAGGCACACCTGCTCTACATCCCTGGAATCTCTGCCTATCACACGTCCTCACATTAGGATCCAGCCCACACGTATAAGTGGCTGCCCAGTTCCTAAGCTGGGAGTCCTATCTTACAGGACAGAGGAGCACAACTTACACCTAGTCTACTTCCTTGCTGGGTCGTACAGCACTACAATGCTGACGGCCTCTCCCATCTTTCCCGGATCACTGTTTCAAGGCTGTGGCATCTCTCACATCATCTTCAGCTATCATACCACACTTAAGATTCTACAGTTACAGCTGAAAACCAGAAGAAAACTCCCAAGATCTCGTACCCCAGAATGATGAATTATTAGTAGACTGTGATTCTTCATCAAAGATCATTCAAATGCCAGAAATAAATCTGAGTTTTGGTACCTAAATGACTAGTTAAAAAAAAAAAAACACTAGTCTATAATTGCTGGGATAAAATAAATGTACAAAACAGTGTTTCTTGGAAGCATCTTTCCCAGAATATTCAGTTTTTAATATCATATGACAATACATAATACAAAACGCTCTTGTAGATGAATTAACTACCACTTCATCCAATACATCCTAAAAATATCTATCAACAATTACAGTACCCAAGTTAATCACAATTCTATTAATCAAAACCTTGATTACTCATGCATTTTTAAAAAATAATCCATAACAAATGGGGGGGCTACACTGCACCCCAGCCTCTGACAGGCACACAGGGCACATCTTGGATGACAGCACCCACCTTCTGTAATCGTTCCAGCCCCTGTTGATTCCGTGAGTCCATACCCCTGACCAACAGGACAGCAGAAACAGATATTCATGAATCGTTGTGTCGTTGCAGAAAGTGGAGCACCACCACACAATAAAAGGCGAATATTTCCACCCAGTAGCCTTCGAACATTCCGGAAAACAAAGCTAAAAATACCAATAGAAAATTCCAAGACTTTTAAAGCAGAGTGGTAGTTTGAATAAAAATGGGCAACACAGGCTCATATATTTGAGTGTTTGGTTTCCAATTGTTTCGAATGAGGAAGGATCAGTAGGTGTACTCCTTTTGGAGAAGGGGTGACACAATGAGTAGGCTTTGGGGTTTCAAAATCCAGCACCATTCCTAGTTGGTGCCTCCACCTGTTGCCTTTGGCTTAGGGTGCAAGCTCAGTTACTGATCCAGTGGCCAGCGGGGTGCCTGCCTGCCTGCTGCCATGCACCCTGCAATGATGGACATGGAGTGAACCCTCTAAAATTGTAAGCAAGACCCCAATTAAATGCCTTAGTCACGGTGACTCTTTGCATCAACAGAAAAGTAACTAAGCCAGAAGTTTTCCAAATCTTTAACCTCTCTGTTAAATGGAGCTTTTGAGATTAAGTAACGTAATCAAAGTATTACAGCCAGTTCAGAAGATTATCCTGAGTCACTCTGTCTTAAATATCAGAGGTACAATCAGCAAAGAAAATGTCATTTCCTCAGTTATTTTTCATGTAATAGACAATATAAAATTGGTATATTTAATTGTTTATAGTAATAGATTTTCTTTTTAATGAACAGAGAATTTGCTATCATAAATACATATTATATGCCACATCTTTAAATAATTTATTAGAAGCAAAATAATTTTCTGCTTGTATCTATTCATTAGAAATTAATGCAAGCTTTATGTACAGAAATCTCTTTTAAAATCTGTCTAAAAATCTATCTAATACAAACTTTGAGGTGTTTATTATAGCTTTAAAAATATGCAAATTATCTGGAAGCAATTTTAAAAAGAAAGTATTTCAAATATCTATTTGATATGTTTCTGAAAAAGACTGCTCATAACTCAAGTAAAAAGCGAGGAGTGAGGCTGGGAATGGCTTAGTGGTGGTGCTTGCTTACTGAGACGCACACCCTAGGGTCAGTTTCCAAAGCTATGGAAACTGAAGTTTGTTAAACATTTTGAAAAGGATGAAGACTACACGGCAATCATTTTATTAGTTGTATTAAGGCTGGATGTGGTGGCATACACCTTAAGTCTTATGTTCTAAAACTGAGCTATCCAGTCTCTTAACTTAGCCCTCAGAAAGGAGACCCTATCATCAAAAAAAAAAAATTTATTAGACTTGACATCTTCCTAAAATAGACAAAAAGTCTAAAAAAAAAAACCCAATAATGTAAAGCATCTGAAAACTATGTTTATATTTTCATAAAAAAATTAAACATATAGTTGAACAGTGATGGTGCATGGTTTTAATCCCAGCACTTGGGAGGCAGCAGCGGGAGAATCTCTTTGAGTTCAAGGCCAGTCTGGTCTACAATGCAAGTGAAACACTCAAAAGAAAAAAAAATCCTATTTTCACTTTATAATTTTCAAACTACTTGGTACTCTTTATTAACAGTACAAAAACAGAGATGAAGGCTGGAGAACAATCTTTTAAAGCTTTAAAAATAAAAGTTTGATAATTTTCACCATTAAGCATATTCAAATAAATTTTAAAGTAGTGTTTTGAAACTTAACATCATTAAACATCTAAGTACTATATTAAACGCAGAAAAATGATAACTAAAAATTTTTCAGTTCTTATGCAGGAAGGATTGTTACAGTCCCTTGACTTTTCAAATGAATTTCTTAGTACACAGCCCAAAATGGCCTGGAACTTGCTATGGAGCACAGGCTGGCCTTGGACTTTTTTAAGAGGCCAGAAGGCAGCGCTGGTGCCCAGCTCTCACATGCTCCCATCACCCACCCTTTCTGCAAAACACTGAATCACCTCGGCAGCCCCCAGCCACAGGGATTTCAGGCCTGAGCCACCGCAACCATGGTACATAGGCCTCAATTCCCCAGCCTGCTGAAGGGAACTGGCATTTACACGAGGAACTGACTTTACTCACCGGTCACACAGCGGAGTACTGCACCCTTTGGCAATTTGTTCCATCTTATAATTATAGGCCAAAATAAATAAGTTTCGTTGCAAACTACTCATTTCATTCACTTTATTCATGACATTTTTGTAGATCCGATCCATGATTTCCTAGACATATAAATAAATTCATTAATTATCTGAGCAATCTTCATATTTATGTCATATCCAAATCATCAATATTCCTAATTATCATATGTATGATGGAGGGTAGTTTTGGGGTGCATGTGTCATGGTGCACATGTGGAGGTCAGAGTCTCTCCTTCTGCCATCATCTGGGACCTAAGAATTGAACTCAGGTTCTCAGACTGTGTAACCAGCACTTGATCCACCCCACTCACCTTACCATCAAGACACTAAGTCATTTTAAAGATAAATTCTATCAGGACTAAAAAATATAAGTAGAATCACAATTAGTTTTATCACCCCATCACCTGCGGCTGACAGCACGTCTTGAGTGCTTGATAAGAAAGAATGGGCAATTCTTACCGGAACAGCTGCCATCAGGGTTGGCTTCAACACGGATGTGTCTCCTTTGCTTCCTTTTTTTATTTTTGAAGACTACAAAACACAAAATATAACCTATATAAAGATTTTGAACCAGACGGTGCTAGTGCACACATTTAATCCCAGCACTGGGGCGGCAGACACAGGTGGGGATCTCTGTGAGTTCAAGGCCAGGCTGATCTACAAAGCTCCCGGATAACCAAGGTTACCCAGAGAAATCCTGTCTTGGAAAAAAAAATCTTTAACTTAAAAACTTAATAGCATTCTTAACTCAAAAACATATGATAAACTCACCCCTTTCAATGTATTTATATTCTAATATGTCTACTTAAAAATAATTAGCAATATGGCTGGGCAGTGGTGGCACACGCCTTTAAGGCCTTTAATTCCAGCACTCGGGAGACAGAGGCAGAATCTCTGTGAGTTTGAGGCCAGCCTGGTCTACATGAGCTAGTTCCAGGACAGGCTCCAAAGCTACAGAAAAACCCCTGTCTTGCGGGGGGGAGGGGGGAAGGTAGCAATAATTCTACTGATTTAACTTGAAACTGATAGGGAAAGAAACATTAAAAATACTTTTTAGTATATCAAGTCATAGATGCTTAATTTACCTGATCTGCTAAAGTCTGTGGTGAAGAGTAGCCGATTCGACATCCATGAGAAAGACACACAAGCTCAGCACTCAATTCTAGAACATGGGCCAGGGGCAAATAGCCAATGTATACATCTTCCTCTCTGAAAGAAATGACAGATAAAAGCAAGGGTGGTGGGAGCTTTCTGCCAAAGTGACCACAGTAGGCTTCTAGACACATAGTGGAATAGCTAAGCACCCACTGAAGCTCCCTGCTGAGGGGGCACAGATAAGACAGACAGAAAGAAAAAAAAAACTACATTTCCTTTGCATCCAAACTACAGTTCAATCCAAAAATAAAGAGAATGTGGTCTGTTGCAGGAGCAAGGTACTAAGGCAAAAGAAGTGAAAGCTGGGGTTTGGGAGGTCTTTAAACGACAGGAAGTCATTGTATAAGCGATGACCTTTAGAGTTAGTGGGTACCTACTATGACTCTCTTAGAATGGATGCCTGTTCTAGGAGCTGGATTCAGTAATAAATTGTAAAGTATAACTTAATACACAAGAAAATATGCGTATTCATGTATTTTTCAAGAAATGGCCCTGCATCTACAAACATGAAGAACAACTAAGGAAGTCCAAAAGGGAAGCGCTGTTCAGGTTTCTCAGCTGTTTCCACATCCCGGCCCACAGCTAACTGCATGTGTCTCCATGCATGTGTGTCTGCGCATAAAGGCAACAAAAAAGGCAGTGTCCCAGCTGTCGTCATAAGAATGATGTCATCTCTGAGGTATCATCTTAACTCCTCCACCCCAGCTGGTGTCTTCTGTCATGTTTTGCCTACTCCACTCCACTTTCCCTTGATGCCCCAAGAGCACAACCTCAAAATCCATCAGTTGACTATGACTACCTCTCTGCCCACCAAGACTGCACATAGCATACAGAAATGACTACGTACACATGGAAGCGAGGCCAACTGACTGAAATAATTTAAACTTGAGGTATTTACAACCACAAATTCAGCTAAACTCTGCATCTTTAAAATACTAAGCCACTGAACTATCATTTTAAAATCACATGAACATAACTATTTTAGAGGCAGGAGAGGCGGCTCAGCAGTTAACAACTCATGTTATCTCAGTCTGGTTCTCAACCCATACTGGGCACTAACAGCTCCAGCTCTGGGGGATCTGATACTCTGGCCTCTGCAGCTTCATTCATGAGCAGGGACAGGGAGACACTTACACATGTGTACAATTAAAATAAATCTTTTTAACAGTGTTATTATTTTTTAATTAATGTTCTCTAAAGTGTTTACTTTCATAGACACTTGGGAATAACTTAACCATCTCGGAAAAAGGCCCAAATGCTTGTACTCTAACAGATACAGATACAAATACAAAGTTACTTTCATTTTACCATGACATACCCCAGACTTGGAATCCTTCTCGCCATCCCAGTTATAGAAGCAATGATGTTGCTGTGGGAGATCATGACTCCCTTTGGAATTCCTGTGGACCCACTTGTATACATGATTACTGCAATGTCTGAGGGTGACGGCTTGCTGTGAGCTTTGTTTTCTATATTGAAGAAAAGAAAAACACACACTTCTGAGGAACTCGGCGACATCACCAACTTTCTTCTCATTCATTTATATGAATACTCAAACAACAGTCAACACATAAGGAGGCATAAACAAACTGGGACAAACCGGTTACGTCCATAATATAAGAGTTACAAAGAAAAATAACAACAAGGAGAGATAATAAAGGATGCTGCTTAGATACAGCATTCTGGCAAAGTTTTCTAAAGAGCAATTTTAGTAAAACCTCAACAGAGTGAGCAAAGTAGCCACAGAAGTCCTGGGACTGGGAAGCCAGTCTTCAAGAGTAAAAACAAACAGTGGCAGGGCAGCGGACGTCTGCAATTCCAGCACTCGGGACACTAGTCAGCCTAGGCCACAAGGTAAGCTCTGAACCATTTTAGAAACACCCTGTTCTGTTTCAAAAAACATAAAATAAAATAAAGTAGCACAAGTAGTAGTAGTAATGATAGCTAGAATAGTAGTGGTAATGGTAGTTAGAGTAGTAGTGATAGTAACAGTAGTTAGCAATAGTAATGGTAGCTAGAGTAGTAGTGGTAGTTAGCAGTAGTAGTAGTAATGGTAGCTAGAGTAGTAGTGGTAGTAATGGTAGTTACTTAATAATAAATGCTGGCATTTTCCTTAAGTCTTTCTTTAAAGGCTAAATAAAGGCATTTGTAGAAAACCCCATTTCTACATTTGAGTGTCTTGTGATCTAACTCCAGGATCACACCTCTGGTCAGTTCTAGAGAACACAGTGAGCAGAGTGCACATATGGAATGGTGACCACACAACATACCCATGTTGGCCTTCACTCCAAGAGCCTGCACTGCAGTCATGGTGTGTACAATGACACCCTTGGGGAACTCAGACCAGGTTGGAGGCTTCCCATCAACAGTAATGATATGGCGCAGACGCGGGACCAAAGAGACTATATCCTGAGGAAACACAAACATTTACCATGATACGTTAACCAAGTTCACCACACTGAATGACCAATTGATTTCTTGCCCCCAAAAGAGTTCAGTGATGGGGCTGGGGAAGGAGGGAGGGAGGTGCGGGGGGCGGGGCTACATTCGCTATTCTATATATTATGCATACTCTGTTCTTTTATAAAATCCTTATCAACAAAGCTACTGCTCCACAAAATGGACATATAATCACAGAATATCCAAGGTCCCTCAAAAACATAAGGGGAAGGGAGAAAATCTACTTGTAAATTTACTAAAAGAGAAAAACAAAAGCATGCCTGAGATGGTAATGTTTTCAGGGGAAATGGCCTAAGAAACTACAAGAATCATTTTCCTATTATTTCATAAAATGTCTCCCATTTTAGTACTTAAAATTTTCAAGCAAATCATTACTCAGTGATATTTAAATGAATTTAAAATATTCAGTGGTCTGGAGAGTGGTTAAGAGCACCCATATAGCACCTTACGAATTAACTCGTTCCTTTCTTTCAGGAGGTAAGATCTCAAGCCCCTTAGGTCCTACTTCCAGCTCCCAATGCTGAGATTCTGTGTGCACGTGTAGGTGCCTATGCACAATTCTGTGTGTGTTCTCCAAGCCTTCCCCCACAGGATACTCTGGCCTAGAACCCACCCACCTGTCCACTCACACTGCACTGGTGCTGGGAGTGTGAGCAGATACCACCACACCTGACTTACACAGTTTGGGGTCCTTGTGCTTACAAAGATAAGCATTTCACTTGAACTACATGGTACATATACATACATGCAGGCAAAATACCTATCCACATCCACATAAAATAAATATAAAATGTTGAGGGGTCAGCAAGATAGTTCAGGAGGTAAGTGCACTTGTCACCAAGCCTGATGACCTGAAATCAATGAAACCCACAAGGAATCTCACGGTGACTAGAGGGAGAACTGATTCCTGTGGGCTGCCTGTAGAGGGCAGAAAAGCCTTGCGCACACAGGTAGGCCCTGGAGATGATGTGCACAGCTGTTCTTCCTGGAACACTAGGAATGATGTAGTTTTACAACCTGGTGATTCTTTGCTGTTGTGAGACAGGCTCTGTCGTGTCTCCCAGAATTTATGCTCCTACTGATCTAGGACCCTGTTCCCCTAAATCCTGAGCATTGTTTCTGTACCACAAACCCCACTCTCATGAATGATGTCACTTGAGCTTTACAACGGTCAAAGTGACTTCAGTTATCTTAGGGCCAGGTCAGTCCTGACTCCCACAGACCCTAAATCTCGGGCACTATCTCGGAGTCAACAGTACCCATACTTGTGAAACAAGTCAGATGTACTTTGGAAGAAATCTCAATATAAAAATGTCTTAAATTGTTGTGTACTTGAGACTGAGTTGTCTAAATACATTTTTCAAAAAAATGTGCTGTGCTTAAATGTGGCTAAAGTAAAATGATCTAGGCCAGACTCTAGAAGTCCTGGTCCAGCACTGGTTACTTACAGTAAAATCCAGCTGAGCTGAATTTCATTCTTGTCTCTTCATGGATCATTTTTTCCCTACCTGCTGCAAAACCTGCAGAGGAATCAGCACAGCTGTCCTCATTTTAACAGGTATGTCATGGCACATGTGACCACACGTATGCATGCACATGTGCACAGAAATACAAATTCAAAAAAGACATTCAAGATTATTAATTTACTTTAAATACACTATGAAACAAGCACAATAAAGCTCTCATCCTTTCAACAGACACTAGCATAGTAGTAATTTTTAACAATTTTTTAATTCTGGTCTAATATAAATGTAATCTGCTTTTATGTTGTAAAAATAAAGAACAAAATCTCACAAAGGTAACTCAGGATCAAAGCATCACACACTGAGAGTTAACTGTATTCCTCACCTTCAGCTTTGTCTGCAAGAGTTCTTTGCTAGTAATGATGTTGGTCACCTCTGTCTCATTTAGTCCATGAACAATGGCTGGACCTCCCAGGGTAGCATACAGTGTAACAACTACGAGGAAGAAGACAAAGGTCACACGGGAAGAAAGGCACAGTTGCTACATAGCAGAGCCTCCTTTACTCACCTTCCTCAACTGCTTTAAGTGAACACTCTTAGCATGTGTGTTTTGCCTGCACACTATTCTAGGACTAATGTGACACAAAGGAATTATACCTGATCCTAGAATGTCAAAATCTTCCTTGTTGGCTGCTGGAACTAGAATGTGAAAAGAGACGAGTCCAGTGGTTCTCAACCTTCCTAAGGATGTGACCCTTTAGGACAGTTCCTCATGTTGTAGGGACCTCAACCATAAAATCATTTTCATTGCTACTTCATAATTTTGCTGTTATGAACTGCAATGCAAATACATGTATAAAGTCTTATGCAAGCCCTGTGAAAGGGCCCTTCCTTCCACACACACCCCAAATGGGATGAGGCCCACAGGTTGAGAACCACTGGACAAGCTGGTACGACAGCACATTGAATGTCAGATCTTAAGTATCACAAGTCAACAAAATAACACATGCCAGGAGTAGTGATGAGACCTATAATCCTAACACTTGGGGAGCAGAGACTGGAGGTCACCCTCCACTACATAGTGAGTTTGATCACTAAATGAGACCCTGACTCAAAAGATAAAAAGTAAGGAAAAATAAAATAGTGTTCATACATAGTGGTACAGCTTATTCTAGAATCGAAAAATCAAGTATTTTAGGAACACTGAAATCACATAATATATACAACATGGATTTCTTTTACATTTACTTCCCATATAACTGGAAATAGAAATAGAATAATTTTGAAAACAATAATCCTTTCAAAACATTCTCAAAAGAAATGTAAACTCAAACCTTGAAAACAAAAAGGCAGTCCCTATTTTACAAAGCAGAAGAAGCAGACTGGGTGCAGCAGAGAATGTATTTAATCCCAAGCAGGGTTCAAAGCCAGTAAGGTCTCTAGACCAGTCAGGGACAAACACTGATACCCTTGATACCTGTCTCAACTAAAGAAAGAAGAAAATGGGCCAGGCGGTAGTGGAGCACACCTTTAATCCCAGCACTTGGGAGGCAGAGGCAGGCGGATCTCTGTGAGTTCGAGGCCAGCCTGGTCTACACGAGCTTTGGACAGGCTCCAAAGCTACAGAGAAACCCTGTCCCAAAAAAGCAAAAAAAGAAACAAGGAAAGAAACAAGGGAAAGAAGGAAGGAAGGAAGGAAGGAAGGAAGGAAGGAAGGAAGGAAGGAAGGAAGGAAGGAAGGAAGGAA